AGCACTGGGTTGGGATGTTTTCTTGATGCGCACTTAACCTTTATATAAAACTCTCTCTTATACATGAGTTTCTGTGGATTTGTTTCTCTAAAGTATCCAGACTAATACAGCCATTAAATAAGGAAGATTGAAGAAGATCAATGAATTCCAGTTATAGTGCTGATGAAGAATATTCAAAGTACCATGGACTGCCAAAAGAACAAACAAAGCCGTCTTAGAAGAAGTACAGCTAGAATGCTCCTAAAGGCAAATATGTTGAGACTTCCGCCTACTTTGGACATGTTTTACGGAGAGGGAAGCCCATGATAAAGGACAGTATGTTTAGAACCATAAAGGGACAGTGAAAAGGAGGAAGAATCTTGACAATGTTGATTGACACAGTGGCTGTAACTATGGACTTGAACATGAGAACAATGGTAAAAATGTTGTAGGACTGAGCAATGCTTCTTTCTGTTGTACATATGGTCACTGTGAGTCAGAACCAACTCAACTGCACCTAACAACACACACACACACACACACACACACACACACACCCTATTCCTCACTTATCAACGATATCATTATCTGACATGTTTGCATTTATAATATAAAAAATCTATGTTACTATTCTTCACTTACATCTGTATATATATCTGGCATTAATCTATGCCAAGATAGCACACAAGGATAACACTAACTTCGAAAGCCAATGCATCCAGTGGACAGTGACTCATTGGGACCATCTCCAGGGTTTCTGAGGCTAACAGCCTCTTGTAGAGCAGCGTCTCATCTTTCTCCCAGAGAGTGAGCAGCAGATTTGAACCTTAGACCTTGCGGTTAACAATCCAATACTTACTCAACAGAGTCACCTTGAGATTTTAACCATAAGGTCAGCAGTTCAAAACTTCTTGCTGTTTTGCAGGAGGAAGACAAGTGTTTCTACTCCCATAAAACATTACAGCCTCAGAAACCCAAAGGGGCAGTGCAACTGTCCTACTAGGCCACTATGAGTTGGAATCAATTCTTTGGGAGTGAGTTTGTTTTTTTTTTAGTTTTGATGGCTTAAGTCATATTTCAATTTTGCGGGGCCATCATTCTCAATGATTTTGCAGTCACGTAATCCAGCAGTTGTATAATGGCACAATTTGGCATTTATGCGATGATGAGTTTATCCTCTATTTTGTGATGAATTTATCCTACAATTTCACATAACATTGTTTTACATAATTTTAAATTTCACATAATGCCATGCTCTTGGATCCTAATCATGTTAATAACTGAGGAGAATGCATATACAGGAACATAGAAAGGGTCATTTTTATTTAGCTGGGCTTTATTTTAGATGCCCAAGGATATGTGTTTTCTATATAAACTAGAGGTTTGGGAACTTAGAAGCAGTTTATTGGGTTGATCTTTATTTTTGCTGGAAAATTAAATGTTGAATGTTCCCTCGTGTCAAAACAAATGTTCAGTTCTCATTCCCCTACCTATGATGTAAACAGCACACCACACAGACCTTTAATAACTTAAAATGATTGACATGAATGTGGACTAAACTGAGAACACAATTTTCTACTTCCAAATTGACACATCCCTCAAGAACATCGTAATACTATGCTATTGGAGATCTTTATGCTTACCAGAGTCAAATTAGAAATGCTTAATTGCTCGCGTGTGAAAGCACACATACTCTCCTAATTTGGAATCAAGTAATAGGTTTTTTTTCCTATCTAGTACTTTAAGAAGATTTTTATGCATACCTGACCAAGCCATGCTATGTATTTATGCATCAGGAAAGTTTCTCTTGGCAGTCACTCTCACTTTCCTATGATTTGATCTTACTTCCCGTGGAGTGAACTACAGGGCTCACAGTCAAGAAAGGACTCAAATTCAGCAGGTGATACAGCAGAAAAGCTGCATTTAGCATCCCTGTGGCTACAGTTACACTACCAGAAAACATCTCAGAAAAACTGAACTATTTCCTGCTGGCCTCTATATCTACTTACATAAGTGACAAAATATCAATTTTGACATGGGAACAAAAATTGATTCTAGTACTCTTATCTGCAACTTATTTATTAGGGGCCAAGGGCATTAACCTATCACACCACCCGATGGCTCCATATTCTACATACAGACCTTCATTTATCTCGGAAGATCAGCAATTTTTATTGTGATTGAGGTTGATTCCAAAGGCTACGACAATATTAGGGCTGATGTGAGCCTCATCCCTATTGCCTTTAAGTCGCTTCTGACTCATAGAGATGGTATGGGACTGGGGCAAACTGTACCTGTGGGTTTCCAACGTTTACAGGAGCAGACACCCTCATCCTTCTGCGGCAAAGTGGCTGGTGAGTTTGAACGGCTGGCTGGCTGGGTAGCAGCCTAACTTGTAACCTGCTACCCCACCGGGGCATAATAGCAAGGGTTCAAACCACTGACTTTTCACTTAGCAGCCAAGTATGAATCACTATGCTCTAAGGGCTCCTTCAGCCTCATAATTGAAAAAAATTTCATTAAGATCAATAGAAGGTATGGATGACAAAAATTCAAATAACATTGGGGTAACTTTTTAATCAAAACCCCTCAGGAATATATCATGCTATTTATATGATGCAACTTTATGTAAATTCATAGTCTTGTACATGCGTGAAAAATTTTATTCTGTAAGATTTTAATTTTAAAAATTGATGTTTTACTAAGAACTTATAAATGCTCAGCAACATGACCATGACAACTACATGACATGACCATATCCATATGTGGATACATTTTCAGATATAGATCTCTCAATCTCACTTCCATTAAGTTGATTCCAGCTCATAGTGACCCTACAGGACAGAGTAGAACTGCCCTGTGTAAGTTTCTGAGATTGTAAATCTTTACGGGAGTAGAGAGCCTCCTCTTTCTTTCATGGAATGGCTTGTAGCTTTGAACTGCTGACCGTGTGGCTAACAGCCCAATGCATACCCCACTATGCCACCTGGGCTCTTTCCTATCTATGCAAACATGAGAAATTCTGTTTTATATTGGCAAACTTTATGTTGCCTTTAAATCATGGAGCTTTTCTCTGGGAAGCTTTGGCACTGTTCTTGACTTTAAAGTGACCTTCCATGTCCAAAAAAATACCAAACTTACTGCCATCAAGCCGATTGTGACTCATCCTGACCCTATGAGACAGAATAGAACTGCCTGTGGATTTCCAAGAATGTAAATCTTTATGTTAATAAAATACTTTATCTTTCTGCTGTGGAGCATTCTAACCGCAGAGCATGTGGTTAGCAGCCGAACGAGCTCAATATTTATTAACTACTCTTAACTTTACTTCCTTCCAAATGCTAGTATTTGTAGTTAGGGAGTAGATTAGAAAGTTATATACTGCATAAGTAGATAGGTGATAGATAGATAGAAAGATAGATAGATGATAGATAGATAGATGATAGATAGATAGATGAAAGATAGATAGATGATAGATAGATAGATGGATAGATAGATGATAGATAGATAGATAGATAGATAGATAGATAGATAGATAGATAGATAAAAAGAATGAATGAAGCTATATTGCCTGATTTATGTATCGGAGTTAATTATTTTCTGTAACTCATCTGGAAATGACAAATCCTAGATCTACATAAAGCATCCAGTTCCTAAGTCCATAAAGCATAATAGTCAATAATAATCCCTTAACCCAAAATATCTTGCAAAGAGCTGGCAAAATTTAAAGCAAAAATAATGGCTTTTTCTTCTTCTTCAGTGACAGGACATACCATGTGCTCAGAACACCATTATTTTTCACTCCTTCTGTATGTTTCCAAAAACTCTGTAGTTTCAAAGCATACTAATCAATACAGCAAATGCCTGTATTTAACCAAATTAAATATCTTAGTAGAAACAATTTGGTGTTTCCAAACCTCAGATGTGGTAAGTTTCTGGGATTCAGTCCTGTAGATTCCAATAGGAACATCTCCCGTAGAAGAACACAGCTTCTGATAAAGTCTGGCATAAGTCCTGATCCATAAATCATCTTCAGTAATTTTCATCTGTAATATGCATAGATTATTTGCATACTCATTTTTATTTCTTAAAAGCAGAAATTATAAATATTTTGAGATCTTAAAATGAGAAATTTTAAGTTCTTATTCTTGGATTAGCATATTTGTCACACTAGACCTCTGTATTTCTCCAAGGGCCACTCAAACTTAAGGAACTGAGAACTCAATATGTGGCAGTAGAACGTTGTATGAGTTCAATATGGGTAGGCACCAGGCACTGGTGATCAACTGCAAGACACTGGAGAACGGGTGGAGAAAGTTTCAAGAACTAAAGGCTGTTACTAGTCACCGGAGGGTTGGAGATGCTGGAAAGATGAAAGTGCGAGAGACACTCAGCATAGAGACAGAAGAACGATCTATAGTAGCTCACACCTGGGCTGAAAGGCAAGAGACATGATTTCTTTTTTCTTTAATCATTTAATTGGGGGCTTTTACAGCTCTTATCACAACCCTTACATTCATCCCTTGTGTCAAGCACATTTATACATATGTTGCCATCATCATTTTTACTTGAACCCTTGATATCAGCTCATTTCCCCCTTCTCCCACCCTCCCTCCCTCATAAACCCTTTAAATTTATTGTTTATTCATGTCTCACACTGACCAAAGTCTCCCATCACCCACTTTTCTGTTTTGTGTCCCCCTGGGAGGGGGTTCTATATAGATCATTATGATCGGTTCCCCTTTCTCCCCTCCCCCCCCTCCCCACCTTCCCCTTCCCCTCCTGGTATCACTACTCTCATTATTGGTCCTGAAGGGTTTATCTGTCCTGGATTCCCTGTGTTGGGAGCTCTTATCTGTACCAGTGTACATACTCTGGTCTTGCCGGATTTGTAAGGTAGAATTGGGGTCATGATTTCTAATCCCTCTTGTTACTCACTAATTTGAATTGTTAGCTAGTCATTTTATTAAATCCTCTCAGACACGTTTTAAAAAGTGGGGTTAAAATTTCTGAACTGCTTCCTGAAAATTTAAAAATAAAACTGAAATTTACGTGTAATATTTTGGGCTCACATTAGAAAAAACATGACAGAAAAGTTAGCTAAAGTAGCATGTACACACTAGAGAACTAAGGCAAATTGTAATTAGAAATGACTGCCAACCTCTGAAAGTATGTTGTGGAACATGATATTGTTTACATTGACCATGGATGAAATCATAATATTAATAAAGTATCACGTGCATGGATTTAAGAGACTTCTAGCAGAGCAACCATTTAATCCAAAATTTGTTAACTTACAGAACAAAGAAACCCCGATCCTGGGATGGTGTCCAGTCCCAATAGAAGCCTGGTGATAGAAATCATGTAATCCTTCACAAAAGACTGTAAGATAAATGAAGGATGTGTTTATTATGTGCACATAATGTATGTCATTTTTAAGATGGTGAGAGCCTTACCACTTTTAATAAACTACTTCTGGTAATACATTAAGTCTCAATAAGAAAGGACATAAAATGTTATCTTCTCATTGTCCAAAATAAACACCCACAGTTAAATAGTCCATAATGAAATAAAGAGAATAATTATGATGTATAGATTTCTGACATACTTCATTTTATGCTGTCAGACACAGTTAAAAACCCTTTGACTAATTTAGTAACATGCAACTGTAGGATGAAATAAAACGGTGAAAAGTATAAAATTAAAATATTTAAAATATGTTTGGAGTAAAATATGTGTACAACTTTTTAAAATTTTAGGGGTATGCTTTATTCTAGTACATTTTTTTTAATTTCCTAATAATATTTAAGTTTTAATATATTTATGAAACAAGAAAACTCACTGACATTGAGTTGATTTCAACTCACAGAGACCCCACCAGGCACAGTCGAGCTGTCCCTTTGGGCTTCCGAGGCTTCAATCTTGGCAGAAACAGAAAGCCTCATCTTTACCCCACAAAATGTATTTGCAGTACATTTTAAATTTTCTTGGTAGAAAAATTTAAAGCTAGTTTTGTTCTACTATACAAAATACATTTTGATCAAAATAGGCACATAAAAGGGTTTAGCATTGCTTCAATTTATTCTAAGCTTCGAATAAATAGCAATAACAACAAATGTTCAATGAATGCAAATAGCTTGTATGACTGCATGTAAGAATTATCAGCACATCCTGAGAAATGGTCACCTTGAGTCAGGAGTGGTAAGTGTACAGAATAGCATTGTTTGGTTTAGGAATGACTTTTAAGAGGTTATAATCCCTTTAAAATACATCTGCTAGTTGGTGGGGTCCTTGTTAATTCACTGATAGCTAGTTCCAGAAAATGTAACTGTGCTACTTGTATCAGAAAATAAGGGGAAAGGCCCATTCCTTTTTTATCAGTCCAGAGGAACTGAATGACGTTTTAGAAAGAGTTGAGATGTGCAACATTAGAGACTGAGTTGCAGTCCATTAATATGGCTCTTCCAGCCATCATTCCTTATATGATGTACTGCAATTTTTGATTGGACGCCTGGGGCTGTAATCCCATTGTGGATGGTGTTCTCTATTATACTAATGAGCAGGATTACGGTGGAATTAAGAGTTAACTGTAGAAGAGGGTGTAAACCAAGTCACACCCTTTTCTTTAGGGCATCTTTAGACTCTACCTTTGAAGACACCATCCTTTGTTTTCTTTGAATGGGGGATATACCCTAGTACCACCATATAGTTCTAACACATAGTACATCCTCTGAAAGCCAAACCTCAGTTTCTGGACTAAACTTTGGTAGAAGAAACATGATCTGCTTTGACTTTTTGACATTTTTGACTTGTGGCTGTGAATTCTGCATTTGGCTCACCTCTGCCTGACCTTAGGATTTGGGACTGAATTAACTCCATAGGAGAAAAATGAGGCTGTTTGCTGCTATAAAGATGTAAATCTTTGGAAACCCAAGCACTTCCCTATAATGTGCCTATGAATTTATGGGGTCGCTATGAATTGGAATAGACTTGAGAATAGTGACTTTGCTTTTCTGAATTACCAGTGACCCCTAAAAGTAGGATCCCTGTAAAATCATTTAATAAATGATTTACTTTTTTTTAAAGTATGAAGAATGCAGCACAAAGAAGAGATAGAAAAACTGAAAGTGAGAGACAGGAATAATAAAAACAAAGTAAAAATGTCTAACACAGACACAGATAGAAAAGAGAAAGGGATTGTAATAAAGTCAGTACAGTGAACCCTCGCCACTTCGCGCTTCGACTTCCGCGGCTTCACTCTATCGCGGTTTTTGCGTAACAGCGCATGCTCTGTCCTTACTGCCACTGATTGGCTCATACTGTACACACTTCTGTCTGCATTGCTACATATCGGAGCTACATATCAGATGCATTTTTGCTTTTGTACAGTGTACTGTAATTGCGATTTTTAAGAAATTTTATCTAAGCCCTATGATGGCTCCTAAACGAGCTGCTTCTTCTAAGCCTTCTGACAATAAAAATAAGCGCCAGAGGAAGATGCTCACCATCCAGGAAAAGGTAAAACTTTTGGATAGGATCAAAGATGGCAAGAAAATCGTGGAGGTTGCACGCCATTTCGACTTGAATGAGTCTTCCGTTTGCTCCATCCATAAAGAGGAAAAAACCATCTGTGCTACGGCTACTTTCACTTTCAACAAGGAAGCAAAGCGCATCGTGACAAGTCGTAATAAGTTCATAGTAAAAATTAAAAAAAAGATAATTGTAACGTCCAAAATGTTTTACTGTATTTTCCCTTTTTCGTTTAATAAATTGGGTAATACGAGTGTAATGGTGACTAAAGGGTGTTTTTTCATGTCCTCTATGCTCTAAGTACGAAAATATTTGATTTACAAATAAGGAATCCTACTTCGCGGAATTTCATTTATCACGGTAGGGTCTAGAACTGATTAACCGCGATAAACGAGGGTTCACTGTATTGGAACTAATAACGGCTGAGGATTTCCCAGAACTGCTAAAAGACATCCATCCACACATTCAAGAAGCCTGAGGAGTGAATGTTTCGTGAAGGAGACCTGGCTAGGATTGGGAGACGAGAAGAGTACGATGGGTAAAAGTAGTAGTCCAAATGCAAAAGCAGTAGCACATGTGACAAGTGGCTTAATATTGCCCTTCTAGACATAAACTTTGTGACCTCTACTAAATGACTGGGTGGGACTATGCAAATGAGGCACTTGTTACCCACCAAGGAGACTGGCTATCTTGCTAATAACATAAATTCATTTTGTGCCACCCCTGTGGAGCTGAGACCACACAAATAAGGTATATGGAACCCTAACAGGAGATTGGTTTATTTTGCCATCCCGCTGTGTTTAAAATCACCAAGCAGAAAATACGACTACGACCACCAGGAAAAAGAGATGGGGGTGGAGTGCCCTGAGAACATCCTAGACCAGGGGTCCTCAAACTTTTTAAACAGGGGGCCAGTTCACTGTCCCACAGACCCGTTGGAGGGCCAGACTCTAATTTAAAAAAAAATCTATGAACAAATTCCTATGCACACTGTACATATCTTATTTTGAAGTATAAAAAACCAACGGGCAAAACCCGGAGGGCCAGATAAATGTCCTCAGCAGGCTGCATGTGGCCCATGGGCCATAGTTTGAGGATGCCTGTCCTAGACCAAGGAGACAGACACACACAGAGAGACAGAGAGAGAGAGAGAGAGAGAGAGAGAGGTAACCCTGAAGATGGCAAGGACTTGCAGCAATAAGAACCAGGGGATCTTCAGGAAAGTAAGCAGTCGCCTTCCTGGCAAGTGAGAGAGCCAAGGGCCTTCAGACAGGAAGTTTGCTGTGAATCGGGGCATCACGACACTTGGCACGGCTAGGTTCACCAACCCACAGAAAAAACTGACCACCTGAGGGGAAGAGGACTGCCGATACAGTTGGGTGTCCCTGAGCACTTCATGGCAGCATTAGGAGCTTTGTAACACTTGCCTGAACAAGGCAGTGGCCCAGGGCCAGAGAGGCGTTCTTGGGAGCAGGGATGAGAAGAGACTGTCCAGAGTTATTTCTGCTCCAAGAACCTATTACTTCCCGAATAAACTGTGAAACTCCAAATAAATCAATAAATAAAAGTAGGGTGCTAGCCAAGTGTTACACTGCTTTCCCCTGACCCAGTGATTCCAAATATATCAAAGCCTATAACCTCATCTCTCCGGAAGAGTGGCTGGTGAACTTGAACCTTGTATTCCTTGCACTTAGCATATCAACACTTCAGCCCACTGGGCCACCAGGGATCCTTAGAAGAAAAACTTTCCTGAGAGAATGTTTATAGTCCTTTGCTTGGTGGGCTCGCTCCAGCATTCATCTGGCATCAGCAGATGGTTCCTCACATAGCTAGAGGCTTACCTCCAGGCAGAACTACCCATGGTGAGTAGAAAACCTTTAAGCATCTTTAGAAGAAAGCACATAAAATATAGAGAGGAAGGAAAATAGGCACTATCAAATGCTTAGCTGCCTAATTGGCAATAAAAGTTAAGAAATAATTTAAAGCCCTACATCTTTTTTTTTTAAACTACTGAAAATATTTGGAGATTGGCTGATTACCAGAGTCAGAAAGTCTGAAGCAGGATTGCTATCTTGCTTCTGCCAGGGAATCTGAATTGAAATTATAAGATTTATTTGTACAGCTAGATGTCTCAAGTTTCTCCGGTTTGAATGATGACTTCACTTTGGCACTCAAGGCCACGCTAAATTGTTCTCTTAAAAAATAAAACAAATGTAAAAACCCACAAAGTGTCCGAATTCACTTGAAGCCATTGAACGCTTCTGATGCAGTGACCATGTAGGACTGAGAAAATAGTCCCTATGGGTACAGAGGGCAGAAAACTCACCCTTCTCCGAGTGGTTCTAAATCCTTTTCATCTGTCTGTTTTTCATGTCTGTTTTCTAAAGCAGACAATCTTTTCAGATGTTTAAAATGGACTTGGTTTATCAGTTTATTTCCATCAACTTGCGGTTTTATTTCAAACAATGTATACTATAAGGTGTGGCACCTTTATTTTAAACATTTTTTTCCTAGCTCTTCTTTTTAATCTAGTAACATCATTCAAGTACTATGTGAAATGTAATAATGTATCCAAAGACACACTGCTAGACATTGGTAACAGAATAATGCCTATTAGTAATTTCCATAAAACAAACCAAACCTCCTGCCATTGAACCGGTTCTGACTCAGTGACCCTAAGCACAAAGCAGCCCCCTGGGTGTTTGGAGATGTACGTCTTTGTGGGAGCAGCCAGCTGCATTTCTTTTGAAGAGCACCGGGTTGGTTCACACTGCTGACCTTTGGTTCAGTAGCCCCATGTGTGACCCACCAGGCCACCAAGAAGCCCTAACAATTTCCATAGGTTATTCTAAAAGCTCTTCATAGCACATATTTCATAGGAATATGTATGTCATTAAATCTATGGACTAAACTATCGTATTATTTCCAGAAGTGATTTTCAGGTAACAGCCCTGTGAAAACCACTAAAGGAATTCATTATTTTAAAACGTACAGTTAGTTTATCGAATACACATTAGAAAGAAAAAGCATAACATACCTGATATAAAAGTGTGTCCAACATACTGATGCTAAACACTCTGCCAGCCGCAAAAGGTAGCCGAAACATAAAGGCCAAATTAGAACCTCTCTCCCGTTCTTTCTGCTCCGAAATTCAAGACAGAAAATTTAGTAAGTATTCTTTCTCTCTCTCTTTTTTATTTTTTGTATTTATTTCCAACACTTCTGACATATACGAGAAATAATATTCATTATATATGATCTTGACTTTGTACATGAAGACATGTGAGTAAATATAAAATGTGGACATGGTTAGGAGAATTTCCTAAAGAAGATGAGTGAAGTTTGTACTTGACAATAGCCAGTAACCATAAAAATGTGCTTTTTTCCTTTGTTACCCAATTTTCTTTACAAGGGAAACAGATTTAGCTGTACAAAGCACAAGTCAGTCTTCCTTGTGTTGAGGCAATAGTAGAAGTAAGCACCTAGATCGAGTAAAGTGAATCTGCAGCCTCTGCAGAGCAGTCTCCTAACCTCCCCTTGTGAAGAATGGGGGTGGGGGAGTTGTATTAACAAATTAGTCTTGGAGGCAAACTCAATTTGTCCTTCCACCATCATTCTTTAATGGAAGTTTGAAGATGTACAGGATCATAATGTTGACTTCATGCAATGTTTTTATGCCTTTTGCTAACTGTGTGACAAGGTATAATGATAGAGCATTCTGTTATACAAGCATATAAAACAAACTTGTAATACAAATATGTTATAATTCCTTAAAAAATACATTTTCTCCCTAGTGGTATTCTCCATTCAATCGAAATTTCAATGATAATTTTATGTTTTCTTAACAATCACTCAAAAGTAAAACATCTAAAAGAAATCTGAGCTACCCAAATCCTTATTAAAATATCCCAAACACCTTAGTACATTTGGTGTTAACTAAATTTTCCATTTGATTTTCTGTCATGAGCATGTGCTTTACTGGAAAAAGAAATTTGTTTTTGGCAGAAATTTTGTTTCCTTTAATCTGTGTCCATCCAATACCATATGGAATGAGATGATAAAATTATTGGATTTAGCAGATCAGTGTGGGAGTGGGTAAAAAAAACAAAACAACAAAAAAGAATTGGCACCAAATTAAAGGCTTCCTTGTTTATATTACTTGTCCTGCATTTTCTCAAATATAATTCCTTTACATTCCTATATTCTGATTAACACTCTTCCCATGCATCCAATAATCCTAGAATAACCAACTCCCATGGCTCATCTAACCATTCATCCTTCTTGATCTCTCATAATTTGACACAGTATATTCTACTTATAAAAATTACCCACCCCCTTTTCTGTGGGATCAGTCCCCCTCCACTTCCATTTTATCTTTTAGATTTCTCACAACTTGTTTTCTCTTATTTAGCTCCTCTCTTCATCTCCTTCTCTTCCTCTCCCACTTTCACTCGCTTTTCCTCCCTCTCTCTGTCCCTGCCTGCCTTCCAGTCATTTCCAACTAACCCCGAGTGACCTTATGTAAGGTTTCTGAGGCTGTAAATCTCTTTAGGTGGATAAAACCTCCTATTATCCTCATGGAGATGCTGGAGGGTTTGAACTACTAACCTTGCTATTAGGAGCCCAACATATCACCCATTATACCCCCACGGTTTCTTATTTTCTTCCTAGTCTTTTTTTTATATGAACACCAAATCAATCCCTCAGTAAGGTTCACATTCGAATTGCTTTCTTCCTATGTGACCTTATCATCATTCATGGCTTTGAGCTTTATACATCTATGCACACAACTTCCAAGTCATCATATAGATACATACATAAGTGCACACAATTATGTTTTTCCTATCCCTTGTTCTGAGTCTAATTTATTTCATTAAAGTTAGCACTTTTCCACAATTCTCATCAGTTTTACCTAGTATGTGTCTATTCTCCCTGCCAATAGCTTAGCCCATCCCTTTACTAACTCATTCCTGATTTAACTGAAATAGTTTACTATGTAAGACCAGGTTGTGCAGAGAAACAAATCCAGTGGCAGTCAACTATGTATATAAAGAATTTTATATCCAGATGCAATTCTATATCAAGAAGGTATCCCAGCCCAGTCCAACTCAAGTCTTAAGTCCAATGCTA